GGTTCTTGAGATATCAGTGGAACAGACGGACACATACACATATACAGGCTAACTGCAAAGACTTCCATTGTGTGTTTCGCACACAGGAGTCAACAATGAAATCTAACAACAAATAATAAGTAAATTCATTAAGAAAATGCTGGGAAAACTCAAATCAGACAGGTGCTGTTGCTGTCCTATTATATGCTGCATACTTAATGAGATGAGCTGTGCAAGAGATATTGACAAGTCATTGGTGCTTATTATGTATTCAAATTTATTTTGCATTGTATCAGTTTTATCATTATTTTTTATAGCATATATAACAATTTCTTTCTGTGCATTTGGTATTTTGTTCAAACCATTACAAAATGTCGTTTATCTTCGACATGATTGTCATCACAATGTTCACAGACCCGTTCATCAAATAAATAATATAAATTATATAAAATTGTAAAACCCCGTCATCAGCTAACATTCAAATTCAAATATCCAATATGAACTAGATGCTTAAAATATAAAAATGAAACTAACGTTGAGGTCACATAACCATTTAATGATACTGATTGGATAATTTGAATTGTAATTTTGGTTTATAAAAATGTATATTGATAAAAATGTATATTTATAAAATGTATATTTATAATGACTACAGCTTTCCCGACACAATTAGACAATAGGGTCACTTTCTTGATGAGTACACTTCCCAGAAGGACACAACTATATCCGATAATAATTTTCAGTGACGTGGTTAGTTTGACCATGGGCAAAATCGTATGACGATTTTGAAAAACTGTGACCCACTTTTCTCTAATTTGGATATTTTGTCCACGTTTACAAAATTTTTGAAGTTTTAAAGCTGTCTGTGCAGTTAAAGCGGAGGAATCTTCACTTGCACATGTGGAAGCCGGCCATTGCGTGTTGTTGTTTACAAACGTCTAACCGTGAGCCTTTGCGTTTTTAGCATACGTTGTTATAGTCATTTGCGCACGTGACGACCCCACTCATTTTGGATGACTCGGATATATTAACCTTAATTTCAAGGAAGAAAATTGTGATTAAAATAATTCACTCACCCCAGTACGGCAGCACAGAACCAGCCAATCTGTTAGCGTAATGTTAGCGCCCCCAAGTTCCAGTGAAACTATGAGTTAAATTTCATAATTCCTGGAATAGCACATACGTGTTAATTCAGACTATTTCGCGCGTTTTACTTACGTCAAATACACTACTCCTTCGTGCTTTAGACAAGATTAACGGCGATAATCAGGGTTCCTGGCCAGGTCTACCACTTTGTGTACGCTGTGACTGTATTAGGAGTTCATAGGTGCTTGGTTTTACTGAGCTCATCGAGTCACTGTGCGTCACGTATATATAACATGGGAATTCCGAAATTCTTCTCAAGTCTCAGTAAGAAATATCCTCCGATAGTCGACAGATATGTGCAGAGAAAAGTAAGTATATATATATCAGGTATTCTATCGAAGATTCGCCAACACACATACACAAGAATGGGAGCTGAGACAATAAATCGAAAAGCATGAGCTCCTCTGTAATTCAGTCTTGTGTAATATAAATCTTTGATAACGATAAATGTAAATATCGAATGCAGGAATGACTGTTTCAGCGTGTGGAATGTAGAGTCAAACAAACTAATACATAATGGCGGATTGTCTTAGCGATACTGACTGTATTTGATAACCTGCGTTAATATCTAATAGCTGAAACGCTGTGTCTGTCTGCGGTTCGTCCGGTTACTGACACCGTTACCCATTCTCCTTTCCAGAGTTCCTTGCGGTTAGATCACTGTAGTATATTGGTCTTATTAGCATGTTTCCCGCGCTTGTAGTTCACGCATGCGCATTGTACCTGTCGGTTGGTGAAGCCATGTTTTGAATAAAGTAAAGTCTATCGATTGTTCCTGCAAACTTTGATTTGTTTCATCTCTGCCTTACCACAGGCTACGACATATTTGGCGACGAGGATGAAACTGTGTATTTGGAGAACCGGCACGACTGTTTTTGACATTCTGCAAGTCCGTAAAGTGTAAAACTTGTCGATAGAAAACTCATCCAGAACTG